GAGTTTGCAATGCGCTTAATAGATTGCATCCACATTTACGTAATCTCCATTGATCAGTTTTCCCATTCACTGCATGCTTCAGAAACTTATAGGCCCACCCTTCCTTTTTTACATCTTTGTTTTAATGGAACTCAAGCTTAAAATTAACAATTGTTGATTGGCCTTGATGATGGTTGAAGCCATGTATGTTACTGTTTGTGTAGGCAACAACTTTTGGTGGTTCTAACATTGATCCAACTGCTTGGGAGGAGAAGAATTGTAAAGGTGAATCTACGTTCCCTGCTTAGGTAAAACATGAATTATCTGACTGGCTGCTTAGTTATTAGGGTGTTAATTTTTCATTTTTTTGGGTTTTCCTAAACCTCTCTCTATGTATATATAAGCACACGTACCTTTTTGTATAGCCTGTATGCAACTGGACCACTCAGCTCTTGACCCTTGTTGTATAGCTTGTACCTTTTTGTATAGTGTATGAAGTTGTTATATAGTCATTATTGATTACCAGGCAAAACTGGAACTGTCATGTGATACTTAATAGAATTTCATGAGGATTTTATCTAATTTGGTCCAGCCACCCTTAGTGAAAGACACCCCTTTAGAAGCATGCTTTGGCCACTGCACATGGTGCTTAATAGATCCGAATTACCATGCTTTGGCCACTGCACTGCACATGGTGCCTTAATAGAATTCCATGAGGATTTTATATAAAATGGTGCCTTTTAGTCCGAATTACCATAGTGCCTTATAGCCCCACCCTTTCCTTTTTTACATCTTTCCTTTTTTGACATTGTATGGCTTATTTCCACCACCAACCTGCTGTCGTCTGTCTATATTTTGGTAACACTTATCAAGATAAGTATCTAATAAACGATTTCTAAACATTTCAATAAAAAATTATTAAATTCATAAGGTTGTCATTAAATTTATAATTTATAAATTGGTTTTGATGTTTTTTGTTAGAAATAAACTTAAGAAAATATTTGTGAGACAAGTCTAAAATAAATTAAAAGGGATATGAATAAGTGCATGTTCCATAACTGATTTTTGTTTATATCCAAATCTATTTTTCAGTTAAAAAATATTTATTATTTTTATATGAACAACTCTAGAAGAAAGACATATATTCACCAATGTATTTACATATATTCACCAACTCTAAAAAGGGATGGAACCTTCGGAAAAATTTTATTCAATAAAAAAGGAAATTACATGAAAGAAATGGGCATACCCATTTTTACAAAGATAATTAAGCATCATTCTAGAAAATGTTTGGGAAAAACAATTAACAAAGGCTTATACCCATACCCAACATTGAAAAATAAAAATTATATTTTAAAGAACCCCAAGGCCTATAGTTTTTGGAATGAGTCCACTTCAAAGTAGAGGCCCAAGTCATTCTTCATGAAATCTAAGTTGTTGACATAAAGAATAGTAATACACTCCATCAGGCATCAGGTAATAATAGGCGTCATGAATTAAATTTTTTTGTGCCCAGTTGAGATAATTAGCCCAATAAATCGTATTCCAATTCATTCTCTTATAATGGCCTAGAAAATACTATCTTCTCCTTCCAGTTCCAAAATGTATG